GCTGATGATGCTGATGATGCGAATGAAGAGGATAAGGAGGAAGTGGAGGAGGAGAAAGAGGAAGAGGAGGACGACCCTTTGAGGGATCTGACGGTGACCGACGGACATTGGCAACAGAGAAAGCGAGCTGCATCCGATTCAACGCCACGTTCTGTGCTCAAGCGCTTCCGAACGACTGGAACGCCGCTCGTCGCCAAGAATGCAGCCGCAGACATGGTGAGAGCTAGCAAGTCGGTGCCTAACCGGTCTGAGTTGGTCAGTTTTAGGCCTGTAGAGACGGCAGAAGCAGCATGTCATGAGTTTGTCAACTCTGTCGGCGTATTTGAAGGGCCGCCGGCAGCCTCGAACCGATTTGTCACCTCATCTTCGGGTGTGAGAGAAAAAAAGGGCACTGTAGAAGAGGGAAGGCAAGATAGAGCTATGGAGGAACAAGGGGATCAACGAGAGCCGGAGATGGAATCGGAGAAAGAAATGGAAAGTAGAGATACAAGGCAAGATGGCAACACAAACGAGAATGTGCAGCAGAAGGAAAACAAAGAAATGCCGACTTTAAACGACGCAAAAGCGGGAGAAATGTAAAGCAATATAAACCATAAAAAGGTTATATTCTTCTTCTGCCTGATGAAACTCTCCTCCAGGATCACAAATTCCTCCCATCGGCCCCACCTCCTATTCCGCTCAAGGCACAATTGTCCCACACAATTATGAATACAGCTCAAATACTCCTTTGTCGTATACGCTATGTCGGAAAGCGCAAAAGCTTATACATTTTACGTAACTTGTCTGTAGGGCACACTTCAGCTATTTTCTTTCACTCCTTTTCCGAGTCACTTTTTCTTATCCGCCAACTATTTTGATTATACCAGTTTCTTCGAATGCATGACTTCCCCCACACATGCATACATACAGACACTTGGATCTTCGAGATAAGCCTCCATGAGATGAACGACTCCATCTGGTGTCGTGAGCCCGAGCGGACGACAGCCACGAGATAAATCCTACTCTACCTGGTTCGAACGCCAGATCAAAGAGCCGAGCTTCCCTATAAAAACCACTCGTTTTTTCATTCCCATAACCCGGAGGCATGGGGATTTCTGTACATACACACACACATATATGTGTATATATATATGTGTGTGTGTGTGTGTGTTCTTGTCGGCTCTTGTGAAGGAGCGAGAGAGCGAGAGATGAATGGAAAATTGGTGGGTTCTGCCTTCAGTATTTTCGAAGCCCTGAGACATTCCTGCAGAATTCTCAGTTTGGCCCATACAGTTTCATAGCTTTACTTTCTTCACGTCCATTGTCACAACTGTGTCCAACTTTCCACACCAAAAAGCTGACTTGTACCTTGAGTTGGAAGTGAAGTAGAGTGACACCCATCCAGCAAGTGGGCATTTGGCCGTAGGAATATTTTGATTTTCCCGTAACCTTTGCTGCGGTCAACGGTGACCAGGTAAAACACCCCATTCGGGGGGACGGGACGTCAGACCTTAAAGATTGTACACAAGCCGAAAAACATGTACACTTGCACTGGATTCACGCGTTCCGGCTGCACAGGCTGGTTTCTGCTGGTTTCCGCTGTGGTCGTCCATTGCCCCCGCCACCAGAAGAGCATATGTCTTCAGGCTACCATATTTTGTACATTTTCATGCTGCAGCTCTTCACACAAATACCGGCCAGTATGTCATTCGGATTCTTATGCACCGCATATGATGTAGTCATATCAAAAGCGGCCATTCATACAAATACATGCTGGGCCTAAGAGACTGGCTGTTCTGTTTCGCGTAGATTACCTGTTGTTTTCATTCTAAAAAAAACACCTCATTTCCACACTTGTAGACCTTGCCTTATGGAAATTTCCAAAAATTAGCCTGATTGC